AGTACTCAAGCAAACGGGAATCAGACTTCTCCGTGGAACTGAAGGAGTAACGATGAGCACCTATGGTGCTGACAGACACATAGGGCCCTGCTCTAACTCCTGGTGCTTTATATAATTTGCCGTGAGTTGCAGCATCCCCTTGACCAAACAGATGTTTGCTAGGCCCGCGCAAAGCGGCTAGTATTCTCCTTGGATTCGGCCGATTTGGGGGACGGTGATTCGATTCAGTGATTTGAATCACTGTCCCAAATCGATTCAGCTGAATCGGATTAAAAGAATCAGCTGAATCTCTGAATCACACAGGCCCCATCCCCCGCCTGCTCTCAATGGCTGCCCCGCCTGCCCCAGCTCCCGGCCCTTTAAAACAAAAACAAACAAAAAGGCCCTGACTCACCAGCTGCTGCTCTGGGCGGGGTGATCCCCACTGTCCCCCCACTGCTCCATGCTGCATGGGGGGCTCTGCATAAGCCCCCAGAAGACCCAAGGCTGCTGCAGCAGCTGGTGAGTTTGGGGTTTTTTGTTTTGTTTTTTTTCTTAAAGGGCTGGAGCTGGGGCAGGCAGGGCAGCCATGGGGGTGGCTGGGGGAGCGGGGGGGGCTAAGGGAGCAAACAGGAGATGTAGCCTGGCAGGGGTCCCCCCATGGTCCCCTCCCCATTCCTCCAGCCTCTCCTTCCTCAGCCCCTACTTACCAGCTCTGAGTCTGGGTCCAACTCCCTGCTGCAGTGGGCAGGGCCCGCATGAATCACCGAAGCTCTCCAAATCTTTTCCGAATCAATTTGGACAGCTTTGGATCGATTCAGTCCTTTTAATTGGTCCCCTGATTTGATTCGGATTCAGAGATTCAGACACCAAATCAGGCCAAATCTTCTCCGAATCGAATCAGCACTTGAAGTTTTGCACGGCCCTAATGTTTGCCAGTTGGGTTGCAGGGGGAGGGGGGGATTGAGTCTGTCTGTCAGAGCCTGAGGAGCATGCCAGCAGCTGAGAAGCCACCCCTCTCTCCCTGGCCCATTCCCATCCGCGTCTCCATCCCCTCCCTCCCAGCTCTTGGGCTGTCTGCTGGAAGAGAGGGAGGAGAGGGAGTGAGCTGCCAGCTGGGGTTTGCCCGAACAGGAGAAGAGGGGGCTGGGGGTGGGGGAACAAAAGGGGGGGTGTTATCTTTGCATAACTGTTTTATTTAGCTTTTCTCCATACTTTACATTCAATGGAAGTGTATCAATATGCATGAAACAAGGAGAGGACAAAAATGGTTTGAATGAGCCAGATCTCTTTCCAGAAAATATTTGGTGAGGGACGAGTATGGTTTGGTCCCAAGTATTTAGATGGAAATTCTAAACACAGTAATTAGTAGGGCAGTGCGAGGCTTCAGACCGTGCTTTGGATCTGGAGAAGCTTTGGACACTTTGTTGTCTGAAGCAGCATGTCCGGATTGAAGCACTGGCTTCGTTAGGCTTTCCGAAGCACTTTGGAAAGCTTCGGAGCCACTTTGGAGATCCGGCCATAGGGTATAATGAGGAATCAATGAAATATCTATAACTTTGTTGTTTTTTGTTTGATTTGGATGAAATTTGCAGGGATGGTAGCCTCTACTGAGAACATGAAGTCTGCAAAGATTCAAGAAGATCGGTGCAGGGGTTCAGGGGGAACTGCACCCCAAATTCTTGAAAGAAAACTCATGTCACGTCTATGTGTTACACCACAGGGAATGGGGTGAAAACTGCAGGGGTGGTAGCCCTTGGTGAGGCCACAAATCCTGACAAGTTTCAAGCAGATCAGTGCAGGGGTTTGGGGGGAACTGCACCTCAAGCTGCGGACAAGCAAAACTCGTGACAGAGATGACCCTGTGTGTGTTAAGGCACAGTGGGCTGAAAACTGTAGAGGTGGTGGCCCCTGATGAGGCCATAAAGCCTGCCAAGTTTCAAGGAGATAAGTGCAGGGGTTTGGGAGGAACTGCATCTCAAGCTGCGGACAAGCAAAACTTGTGACACGGGTGACACTGTGTGTGTTAAGGCACAGCAGGGTGAAAACTGCAGGGATGGTAGCCCCTGCTGAGGCCACAAAGCCTGCCAGCTGTCAAGGAGATTGGTTCAGGGGGGTTCTGGGGCCTGGTGGCTCATGAACACTGCGATGCTGGGGTGGATGGAGCATCCCACAGCCTGGCACCTTTAGCTGCTGACTGACAAAACTCGTGACATGGGTGCTTGTGCAAGTGTGTCTGTCTTGGGGGGGAGGGTTGGGGGGAGGAACTCCTGCCGGCCTGGCTGCTAAGCTACTATGTTACCAGTTACCAATCAATCATAATTCACTCAGGGACCAGCTCAATACACAGTTGCCAGCTAATGTAACCAGTTAATTAGCAACAATCAACATCTACAAAACAACAGACTAACACAAGCAATATCAAAGTGGGAACCCAGTCCAGATCAAGTGCCACCTGGTACCTCGAGGTAGGTAGAAAAAACATTTAAAGCTATGTCTATGGCCAAATTGCCGATTCTCTGAATCAGCATCAAAACTTCAGATTCAGATTTGGCTGAATTGAATCAGGGACAGTGGTCTGAATCAACGATCGAATCACTGTTCCTGATTTGGGCTGAATCTGAGTCGAATAGGGCCCATTTTGCACACCCCTAATAACTATTATGTTCCCTTCCCTCTCGTTTTAGGCACTAAAGCCGTTTTCAAAAGGAAATTATAAAAGAAATTACCTAAATATTGCATTAAAAAGAGCAAAACTAGTAAAAGTGAGACTGTTACAGCCCCACTGACTTCAACATACCAGTATAGAAATGTGTTCCTGCCAATGTATTAGTGTAATATGTGGTTGCAGAGAGAAAGATTGTGGTGGCCTTGTGGTGAGGTTAGAAAGCAGGAATACAGTCTGTGGCATGCAGTTCGTACATACATTTTTTTCACAATGTATGTGGTTTCCATTTTATTACTTTTAAAATTCATTATTCGTCTACTAATAATAGTAGACATTCGTTTTTTATGTATAAGAAAGCCGAGTTTCTACCATAAGCAGCTAACACACAGTCAGTGAATTAATCAGTTCCAGTTCTGTCAGGTGTGAAGTGCTTTTGCTAGCACCTTTGTCTTCTGCTGACTTGCACAAGTGTCCACAAATGCACAGACATCATCTGTGAGATAGCATAGTGTGATAAGGGCTTGTTGTCCCGCCCTCACATGGCTGGTGCCACCCTCTGCAAGATCTTAAGATCTCAATCCCTTTCTTCTCTTGTTTGACAGGCCCTTTCTAAGCAGTGATAAGAAATCTTTACAGCTGCCACCTTAGTCCCCTCCTCCTGTTGTCTGCAATACAGCTGTTCCAGTTGAACTGATTATGGTGCAAATGCCCCAGCCGTGACTCAACCATGCCATAATGTGTTCAAATATTAGAGTAAGAGATGGAGTGAAACATCCTTAAAGCACGATTGTCACCGAACACTGGACAGTCAGAACAGGACAATGAGTCTGCATGAAGCATACTCCACAAAAGGCTTGTAAAAACAAAACACAGCAATTCAAGGACCTTAGCCATTATCCATCATCCTACAAGAAACTCCTCCTGTGAAAGAAATACATCTCATCTCTATTTTACAACACCCAGGTCAAGCTAGGAAACACTGAATGCGCAGTTACTTCCTCTAACCAAGCAGACAGAGCTCTGCTTAAACCCTATTCTCGCTCCTATTTACTTTAGCAAGAGTTCTGCCTCGGTCTGCCATGGGAGTGTATAAGGCCTTTATAGCTTCATAAAGCATAATGGCCCTGATTTGCCATTCACTTAAATCAGGAGCACCTCCAGAAATGTCACCAAGGTGGGGCCCCCAGGACAACAGCCCCAAGCACCAACTTGGGGGATTGGAGAAGGCACGGAGGCAGAAAAATCAAAGCCGCCACTGCAGAAGCGCAATCACAATCACACCAGCAACATCCAGAAGTCACCACTGCCCTGGGCCCTCAGCTGCCCTCTTATGCTTCTGAGTGACTCTACTGGAGGTCATAGAGGCCCACTGGAGTACAACCACTGAGAGTAAGAGAAGAGCAAGGCTTGCCATCCTTCCTACAACACTAGGAGACATTTTGGGGGCAGTGAAAATGTCTAGAGCAGGTGAAGCCAGGAATCATTTCAGCGCTCCTGTTACTTATGTCATCACTGTAGTCACATATGTCTGCTCCCAAATCTTGGACTGCAATGCAGCTGGCACAGGTAGCTGCCTTCTCTTGTACTTGCCACTGTAGCCAGCAAAATTATGTTACATTCTGGCATGGAAGTAGACTGTTCAATGGATCCAAGGCACCCAAAGCCAGGCAAGTTTTGATATTGAACAGTCTGGTATTTAGAATACCAGATGGCAATGATTCAGTTAATACTTGCTTTATGGACAGAGGCAGACAGAGCAGCCCAGGAGAAAGTTTGACTTTCAGCAAGGATAAAACCTGTGTGACATTGGTGGGAGCTATGGAAGAGCCAGTGCTTCTGGTGAGGGCAGAAGACAACACACTACAAAACGGTAGGGACATGAGCTGAAACAAGGTGATATAAGTTTTCTAAAGTGAATGTTGGTCAAAAAGCACCCTTCTTTAAGAGCATACATTTTTCATAAAACATTGTCAGCCTGGTTGTAATTTTGTGGTCCAAGAAAGAATTTGAAACATTTGTTTGTGCCATAGGCATCTCGCAGGGGGGACACAGAGGAGGAGGGGGGCACGTGCCTCCCCCTGAGATTGGCCACCACTGCCACTGGCGTCTGTGGGCGGTTGTCACTCACCACCCCTCCCTTCCCTCACCGCCGACTTCACAGCCGCTGCCTGAGAGCGCTCGCCACTCTCCACCACCCCCATGCTCCCCCACCGGTCTCTTGGGTGGTTCCCACTCGTCGCTGACACTACGACCTACAAATGGTGTCCCCCGGTCTCAGGAGACACCAGGTGTTCATAGTTTGTGCTGAACACTTTTAAAAAAAAAGACTGCAATGGATACTAAAGTTGTTTATGGAAAACTGTATTTCAGGTAGAAGGTAGTAAAGTCAGCAAACATTCAAGTACAAGAGGTTTGTTTGAGCCCTTATGAATTTAAGATTTTTGCAACAGCAGTTTTTTGTTTTTCAGCTCTTTCTAGTGTTTGCCTAATATGCCAACTCATGTCCCCTTATTGCCCTGAGTGGCTGGTGCACAAAGAGAACAGGTCATGTCTTACAGCTAAAGTTTGCTCCTTTTTCTCAGCAGGGACTGGTTGTGGCCATGGTGCCAAAGGTCATGGAGCCCTATCCCCAATGATGTCTCTAGTAAACAAATGATTGAAAGTGTTGCCTAGATCTAAACTTCCATAGAGATATAGATAGAAGAAAGACAAGCTGAGGTTTTTAAAAAGAATTAATTTTAGTAGATATCTCCAGCTAAGTATGCAGTAGTCTAGGTGATTGCTGCAATGTAAAGGCTAAGTATATTGGTCCTCCCATCTGGCTATACAGACCTAAATATAATTAGTGCATCTGCCTTCTTGACTGGCTATACAGGCCTAAATTTCATCTCTGACAGCTTGTAGGAGTACTTGTACCCCTTGCCTGTGTTCCAGTTTATGCCATCTGCATAGCTGTCATGGACTCCCTTCAAGTACAATCCATTCAGGTTAGACAAGTGACATTCCTTATACCACCAGGCCCCTTTATAGGATGTGGAGCAGTTCCCAGAATACAGGTCATGGTCACGATCCTTGGTTGAAAACGCCATGTCCTTATGGTAGGACAATGAGTCCCCTGTGGAAAAAGTTGGCTTATTTATTCCATGGTTTAAAAACTTATATTTCAGGTTCCCCAATCCCAGCTTGCAGTGGGGAAATCTCAGTTAGTAAGTCTCTCTTCACAGGCAAACAAAAACTCTGTGGGATACAGAAGAGAGGCTGCAGCTACATTAGGCCTTGAAGGAGGAAAAGCATTGACTAGGCCAATTCTGACACTCTGCGCTAGTATACATAATTTACAGAACAATCCATTGGGGTCAGTGGACCAAGTCTAGGGGGTACTGTGTTCAGCTTGTCCCATTGTAACAACGTGAAGTGAGCACAAGTCATCCCCAGCAGTTGTCTACAAACCTGTGGAGGACAAGCAGTGGGTCCACACATTGTGAAAGGTGTGTGTGGCAGACTCTGTCCATAAGTGAGTGTTTTCCTGCCTCCAAGAAACAGAAGTTCAGAGACCAGGTTTGTCTGAGAAGGGCTGGCCCATCCACATGATGACCTGTGCTACTAATGTCATGTACAGTTGATATTTCTCTGGGTGGTATCAAGTCTCTCACAGCTTCCAGGGCCTCTGCTACAGAGCTGAGACTACAACCTGGGAGTCCTGGAACACTCTGTGCTCAGGAACAGACTACACGGTGGAGCCACCCAGAGAAGACAGATGCTGGGAGCACTGGCAACTCGGTGAAATTTCATGGAACAGCTTTAGCACCAACAGAGCATATTTCTTTAGCAAACCCAATGTTTTAGTGACCCCAAAACAAAGTTTTCAGAATTTTTGGTTTGGCGGTAACTTTTAAGAATGATACCACCTTATAACTATATTCAGCTAGCCTCCATGTATAGAGACACTGGCACGGGACAGTTATTACTGCAGTATCACATATGTAACCTTCACCTCTCCCCCAATGTATAGCAATGTATCTGATAAAAATTTCATGTTGAAAATGGGATGGGGTTTAGATCAAGTACTTTTTTTTGGCTTTTTGTGTCTTCCATCACCTGCAAGAAGACAGGGCATGTTCAGAACCCACCTGCAGTGCCACCAACAAATTCACCAAGCATCAGCTTGTATTTCTCAGTCTCTCCAGCAATTCTGAAGGAGCTGTATTTGGCAAATTGATGATTGTTGTCAAAATCTCTGAGATCGATGCGAAGCTCATTTGTCCCTTTGGGAAAAGATTTTGAAACATTGGTTGGCATCTGCATTAGCATTTATTGTTATGAAACTTGACTCTTTTTAAAGGGATGCCTATAGACAGGAATCTGAGCACTGAACAGATAAAGTGCCTGTCCTGCCCCCATAAGTATTCAATCTAAGTGTTAGATGAGAAGCAACTGACATCAGAGGCAACAAAACTAGTATCACATGGTAACCATGAGATGATTAAGATTAGCATAATTTGAAACAGTGACAGTGCAACGTGAGCTCTTTTTTAGCTGTGCCATGGACATCTGCACCTGGGCTGTGTTCATAGGTTTTAAGGTCAATAGAGGGGGTATAAAAGACAATATCATTCAGTGATCCCTACAATTTGCTGGGAACTTTTATGAATCTAGTTTCCATCCACCAGCCTGGATCCCCAGGATCCAAAGTGCCATGAAATGTTTCACGAAGGGAGGATAATTTGTAATATTATTCTATCTGCAGCTGCCTTTACTGTCCTTCCATGAGTAGCCACTAGAGAACAAATGGTTCTCTGTGAATCATTACTGAAGGCAGCACAGTGTTATCTGTTTTGCTAGCTTTGTCTGACATGACTGTGTTGTAAGGCACAAGCAGCTGTGCAAAAGCAGAGCCTCCACTACCAGTCCATACAGCTCTACCTTCTGTACTCAAGGGAAAATAATAGGAACTAGATTGGTGAAGAAGGGTCTTATAAACTACGTTAAAAAAATCAGTATGGTCTTTACCAAGAGATGTTAACAGATGGATATTGTCATTCCCCAGCCAGAATTCAGACAGTTGACTGCCAAAACCTTGTTTGTATGAATTCCAATCACGGAAAAAATCCACTAAGCCATCCACTCGTTTCTGGAAAACCTGTGGAGAAACGCATCTTTTTCGGTAACAAATCTCACATTGTCTGTCATGCTATGCAGAGCAGGAAAATGGATAGGGATTGTGGCAGGGCCAGGGTTGAGTGGTGCTGTAGCACATAGGTGCTGACTTTGTTTTTTGCCAGTGGGTGCTTGCAGGAGTAAAAAAAACCCAACCAAAAAACCAACAAAAATCTGACAAAGTGGTGCCAAGCCCCATGCATGCTTAGAATAGGTAGCACACTACTTTAACCTGGCTCTGCAGCATCCATAAAGATTGGGCGTTTTAGTGGGGCTTTTTGGTGCTGTTATGTAATAGCTGATTGAATCAGCTTTAGCTAAAAGCACCAAATAGCCCTGCTGAGGCACCTGATCTTTACAGACACTGCAGAGCCAAGTTGAAGTAATACACCGATTCCTCTGGTAAAGCGTGTTTTGGGTTTTTTTTTAATGTCTACAAGCGTGGCTCCCTGGGTGCTGAGCACCTGCTAATTTTTTTCAGTGGGTGCTTGAGCCCCGGAGCATCCATGGAGTCAGTGTCTATGCTGAAATGCCCTCTTGGGATCACCCAGCTCCTGCCTCCTCCACTCACTTGGTCCCGTCCCCCTCGCTCATCTGCCACGCCTTGATGTTGTTTGGAAGAAAGAGGTTGGGAGGCTGCCCAAGGCCCAGAGGGACCCCGGGCCACTATCAAGTCACTCTCTACTAGTGTCTTCAGATACCAGATGCCTTCTGAGCTGTGTTCATGGTCTCCCGCCTCCCCTATAGCCATGCCCATGCCTTGCAGGTGTTACTGGCCATCATCACAGTGGAGCTGTTTACTCCACTCACTATATGGACCTTCAGGCCTCAGAGTCCTTGTAGGAAACTGAGCCCTCCTGGTCTTGGCTCCTTTTATCTAGCTGAGCTCTCTTGCCTTAGGCCTCCTGCCTGGGCCTTGGCTTCTGGGCCCAGCCCTGTAGGTTGTCGCTGGCCTGGGTTGTTTATGGCCCTGGCAGGGTCCATGCCTCTGTGCCTTTCTTGTCACTAATATCCCTGTCACCTAAGGGGGTTCAGAGCTTGGCGCGCCCCTCAAGGCACTGCACCCCACCACATGGCCTCTTCTCTCCTTTTGTAGCCATGCCTGGTCCTCCGGTTTTATTCAGAACATAAATGCAAGCTGCCACTTCAAACCAAACCTCTCTTATCCTGGGTAAACAAACATAAAAAACCAAGCTATCGCTGGAAACAAATACTTTCCACCACTGCGCATGAACGCCAGAGCATCTTCCCCTGAGTTCTCGCCACCCTGCCCAAAGTGTCCCGGCTCCTGCCAGGCTTCTCAAGCAGCTGCTCACTCTCTCTCCCTCTCCCCCTGCAGATCTCAGTTCCCAGCAAGCCCCCTGCCTCCCAGGCATCCCCCTTATATATCCTCCAGGTGCCCCCTTTTTTGAGTCAGGTGAGTCATTGGCTCACACAAGTGTTTTCCCTTAGGGCCAATGAGCTGCTCCGTCCTCCCTGCTGCCCCTTAAGACCTTTCTTGGCTGCTTGTTTTCTTGCGTTGCAAACTAGTCAGCTGCATTTGTCCCTTTTCAGTAATGGGAGCCTCTGGCTCCCTGTGACAGGACCCATAAATTATTTGCTCACACATTAAGTAGGGTTGACTTGCTCTTATGTGGAGGCTTGTTCCCCACTATGAGGGACACTACTAAGTTTGTTATTCATGAGCTTTGTTTTAGGACTTATTTATATAGTATTGTAAGTGCTATTCACTAGGTTTTATAGCATTTACAGTAACATGTCTGATAAGGTTCATTATTCTTATTTCTTACTTACAATCCATCCTCCACCATCTGTGTCCATGTCACACAATACAGTCAGGGGATTACAGTGCTGAGGATAAATGGTATACCAGCCACTTAAAAGCTTTCCTTTGGCTAACAGCTCCTTGCAGTTTCTTGACCCTGGACAAGCAAAGAATTTCAAACATAAATAAGTTATAAAATGCTCTTTTGGGCAGAAGATCTATAGACTGATCTAAGTTATGCGGAAGGAGGAACCAGGCCTGACCCAGACTGAAGTGGGGGAGAGGGGTCCCTTTGCCTCACTTCTTCCAAACCCATAGACCATCCAGACCTGAGAGTCTGTTCCAGTCCATCTTAAGAGGTCATGGAGGTGAACACTACCACTTGAAGTGCCTGTGAAGCCATCTCAAAGAGTGCAAGTTGAAAAGGCATCTAGTTATGAACGATAAATGATGCCGTACAACTTTGGGTGAGCAATCAGAGGAAATACCAAATACTCACAGGAAACAGTTTGCAAGTGAACCTATTAGCTGTAATGTGCCTGCTCAAAAGAGTCTTTGACCATCTGTTAGTAGCAAACTGAGTAGTAGAAAATAAAAATATCCTTTTGCATGTAGTTTGCAAAGAGAGAAAGGGCTAAGTTACCGCTTTGTTCAATGAAAGTTGTTTGTCCAGCTTTAATGGGATCTCAGGGCTGGATTCCCTGGAGAGCCTGGGATGGTGTTATTAATCATTCCAAGAGGTACTCACCTGCTGTGCACTGTATATTGTCCAGCTCTTCTTTCCCTGATAATGAAAAGAAACCATATGGAAGTGAAATGAAACCAGAAAATCTTGTCAGTAGTAAAAGTAGAAATAGGAAAGTATAGGGTAATCTGAAAATACACCAGACAGGTTTGCCACATATTTTTTAAAGTTCTGGCTGTAAAATGTATCTCCAAGATAAGAGAGGGTCCAATTCAGCAAAACAAGTAAATACACATATACTTTACAGTATATGCTAGTGCCCCAATGTCCTAATTCCAGTATGTGCTAGGACTAAAGCACATGCATGTTCTCAAACTGTTTCCTAAGTAAGGACAGATCTTTTGCACCAGAGAATTGGTACTGTATTGTTTGAGACAGGGTCGTTGTCTTACACATGGTGTCACTTCCATTCTAAGGACAGATTTCAAAGGACAGATTAAAAATTCAAGCAACTTCAGTCATATTTAGTATGAATATAAGGGGGTGTAGACCATTTAAGCTTCTAGAACAGGGGTCAGCAAGCCCCGGCATGCATGCCAGAGCATGGCATGTGAGGTGATTTTGCCTGGCACACCACAGCTGCACTGGGCTCTGAAACCCCGGGTGGGCTGTGCGGTGACGATGGTTGCAGGTGTGCCACCATGTAGATGGCTGGGGAGGGGCCGAGGTTGCACTGTCCCTGGCCTCTCCCTGACCATCCACCCTGAGGCATGCATGCAGCCACCCAGCAACAATGATCAGACCCCTTTCAGCCCCTGGCACACCAATTTGAGGCATGGCTCAAGGTTGGGGTGTTTTTGACACTCCGGCCAAAAATGTTGCTGATTCCTGTTCTAGCAGGTGCAGCTAGTGCTGGCTGAGGAGGCGCAAATGGAGAAGATCAGGGCACTGAATGGATCCCTAGTTGGGAGGCTTGATGTCTGGAAGAGAGAAAAGGACTGTTTGTTTAATAGCCTGAGGGGAGAAAGACTATTGGTTTTTGTTTAAATTTCCTTCAACGAGGATAGCAGGCGGGGGTCCCCCATGCTCTTGAGGTTAAGAATAAAGGACCTGTTTCAGAACTTGAAAAGACATGTGGCTGTGACTCCAGCAAGACAAGCTAGCAGAGGGTACTGTTAGCTCACACAACATCCCTGACATCCTAGCATGAAGTGGGCCCAAAAGTTTTACCAAACCCTTTTAATCTGTTGGTTCTGAAATACAGCAGTATATTTAGATATTGAGACACCTGCTTGACCAGGGAAATGCATAAAAAGAGCCTCAGCATAAAATGTTTTGAACCAAAACCCAATGAGCTTGTGGTTAAAATATTTTGAGGAATAAGTTTAGCTTTATATGGAAAGCAGAACTTTTTGCAAAAGTGATTTTTCAAGCCATGTTTCTGCCAAGAAAACTGCCAGTAGGATGTTTTTAACAAGCCCTGCCTGGGAGGGGGGTAGAGAAAACAGGATCTCATACCCTTTCCCATCCTTGAACAATTGCAGACCAAGATTCTTAGCTAGTGCTTCAGTATGTCCAGGGGGCAGGAGTACCTGCTGCACCAACTCTACAGCAACACTGTCAGAAAGAACTCCACTGCACCCAGCATAAATACTAGCAATGCAGCAGGTGATAAAAGAGGTATACATAGGAATATAGAACTGGAATGGACCTCCAGAGCCATCAAGTCCAGTCTCATATGTTCATATGCTACTATTAACCAAAGGGACTCCCAAATCACTACTTCAAATCCTCATCCATAACTACAGCTATCCACATCTCTGACCCGAGACATCTCTGTAGGTCCAAGAAATGAGTCTATACATAGCATATACTGCACATGGTTTCCGTACTCTCAGGTGAGACTTCTATTTATAAGGCTAGGATGTGATCCTTCTTGTGCTACATTCAGAATTGATTTAAGTGAGGGCTGTGCTTATAGTTAGGAGGGTTACACTGCACACTACCAGCCCTATATTAGGCCCAGAGTGCTGATTCAAGTGACCATGGGAGAATCAGTCAAATGAAGCATAAATTTGTATAAAAAGGCAGTAACAGGAGGAGGTCATTTATTTTAATAGGACATTTCATTGCCAATATCTGAGAAGCATGAGTGTTAAAGGAATGTAACTTCTACTGGGATAGCCAGATCTACAAGTTTCACTTACAAAAGCTTTCTCCAACACAGAAGGTCATCAGATACAGATGTAGATGTTGCGACATTGGCTGCATATTGCTGTAAGTCATTTTGCTCTTCAGACACCTCAATATATATGGGAATAACTGTAAGCTCATATATGAGCATGTATGCAAAGTTCCTGAGCTACTTGTGTTTAGCACTTTTGAAAGGAATCCAAAGTCATTGTCTCAGTAGGCAGCAGTACTCACCTATTGTCCCAGGGTCTCCTTTATCACCTAAGGGAAAAACACAAAGTTAAGCGTTTGTTTTGCTTGGAGATCATGCCCTTGATCAGAACCCTTTCTTCAGCATCCATGTGGGGGTATTTTGGAAGACTTATTGGTGTACAGGTCTTGCATGAGTCCATTAAACTGGTCATACCCAGAACTTATGGGGTGCCTTGATCTTGTGTTTGGCCACTCCATAAGGGAAACTTTTCCCCTTTGTGCATCCCTGCATTGGTTCAAGAAAACAGTCCCATTGCCATCATTAGCTCATTGTAAAAATACTTAAGATAAAGGCAGAGATGCATGCATTTTGCAAAGAGTATACACTCATGCAGTATGGAACTGCTGGTACCTTTCTTCCCAGCTGGTCCCATCACTCCAGGGATGCCCTGAGGTCCTGGTTTTCCTAAAAGCACAAAAACTGAGACTTAATCTTTTACAAAGACTTTGTACTCATGTCCCACAACCCAGGGAGAAAATGACTCTTTGGCACCTAAAGCCAAACAGCAGACCCAGGTTAGCCTTTTTGAGAATTCAGTCAAAATCCTAGGCTGACCTCTCATCTAAGAATCTTCAACTCTGTGACAAATACTAATGAAATAACCCTTCCAACAGCGTGGGGAGGCAACTCTAATCACCTCAAGAAGGAAAACTGGGGCACAAAAGGGAAACTGGGACATAAAGAGAATGCAATTTAGTTCATATCATGCAAGAAGTCAGTGACAGAGATATCAGATCTTTCAATTCGCACTCCCATGCTCCAAAGGGAAGCAATTCAGAGCTCCAGTGAGGTTCTCACCAGGGCTTTCCCTGGCAACTAGTGTTTCAGGGAGGTTTTCTGTTTTTATAATGGGGTCCAGCAGGGATCTCCTAAAGTTCGATTTTTATCATGCGTGTAATTCAAATGTATTCAAAGCATATTTCCATTTCATTCCTGAAAACACATATCTGCTCACCCTCTAAGTACATACCTATCATCCCTTGATCTCCTTTGGGACCAGGAGGTCCAGGAATCCCAAGACATTCCTGAAGCACGGCGAGTTTGTCAGAACTGCTGAGACCCGTTATTTTGAGCTCTGTGGAAAGAAATGAATCAGTGAGCAACTCTGGGAGTTGTTTTGAGGTCTGAGAAGTCCTGGAATAATAGAGAAGAGTCAACTAAGGGATTTGGAAACTAGTCGTTTAAATGTATTGGCATTATGACAACACATAGGAGTTGCAGTCACAGACTAGATCTTATTGTGTTAAGTTCTCTATAACACTGAATAAAGAGAGAGTAAAAATCCAAGTAAACAACTATAATTCTCATGTTCAGAAAACAGGAGATACTGTCACATGTTCAAATGAGGAAAATGCTTTTTGAGTGTTTGCAAGAAAAAATTTGGTCACTGCATTCTTTCTTTCTTTTTTATTTTATTTGGATGTTAAGGAAAATAACCTTAACTAGATTAACAATGATTTTTAAAGCGTAAGACAGAATTTCAAGACTGGGTTAGTAAAAAGACATTATGTAGCCAATGACCTGTTAATCACAAGATGCAGGATGATTTCACCCCAGTGTATTATGATAAACAGCATTTTAGAGAGAGAGTTTCTGAAAGCACTGTAGAAAGCTCAGAAGCTAGAACATAAGCCTCAACTGCACAATTTCCCAGTTAAATTCATGTTTGAAATATTTTTTTACAAGATGTGGGTGCATAGTATTTATAATAGAAAAAGTATTTTACAGATATGCTCATAGTCCCAGAAAACCCACTTGCAGTAGGTGGATTCATCAGGTCCCAGGGCTGCAGAATATGAACAGTTACAACAGGTTTGTCTCTCACTCACCGGGGCAGGTGTTCTGAGCCATGCACACGGTTGCTGCTAGACAGAGCAAAGTGGTGAAGGCTTGCTGGGCATCTTCCACCATAGTTGGGGCTGGATTCTACAGTGGCACCTCCACTTGTCTTCTCATCCACCTCTTCTCTGTGCTAGCAGGTGACAAGTTGTGAACCTTTTATACATTTAACACAAAAGGGAAAACTATGTCAAGTCCTGGTAGAACTTGTGTTCACCTTTCTTGTTTTTGCACTTTATCATAACTTCTACCCAACACAAAAGCCAGGATTCAGCCTCTTCAGGTTTTTCCAGAAACCATTACATAATGGTACACCTCAGCAAGAGCTAAGCACACATTCATCTTCCTAGACAGTTTCCAACTCTATTATGTTCACCTCTTTGAAGCTTGCCCTTACAAACCTGGCTGACAGCTGGGGCAGGAGTCATAAAATAGGAAAAACAGTGTTCACATCATCTTGTTTACTCTTTTCTGCCCAGTGTGTAGCTGGATTACTCTCACATCTCTGTCCCTTTCTCAAAAGCATTCTTCAATTTTCAGATAGTTCTGCTGAGTCCCGGTTCTTTCTTTTTCTGCCAGCAGACTTCCACTTACGAGCACCCCAAGGGCCTTTGTCTTCAGGCCCAGCAATCGCACTCCCATTAATGACTGCTAGAGTGTAGAAAGTATCTGGCTTGCTGAGATGAAGGAAGTCTGGGCACAGAGACTCAGGTAACTGTTGGCTTAGAAATGGTATTTAAAGGTTTGTTTTTTGGAATTGGCTTATAGGCATAGCTATATATATATATATTAAAGGGGTTCAAGATAGGCAGCAGGGGTTAATTGATTTTTAAGAAGCTTGGGTCTCACACACAGTTTCTCACAGCCCTGAAGGCAGACAGGCAGTCTAGCACAACAAGGCCAACGGATGGACAGAGCCTGAGAATTGAAGGGGAATATACCATACTGTCTAATAAACAAGGCGAACAAGGCTGGGAACCAAGAGAGTAAGTACCATACTGCCCATAACACAAGATAAGTGGCATCAGCTGTAAGGCCTCAAAGCAGAGGGGTCCTGAGTCCCGGTTTTGGGGGAACAGACCAAATTAGGACCAGAAAGCTACGTGGACATGTGGCCACAGAGAGACAACCAACCAGAGATAGCCATGGATGAAGAGTCATCAGAAGTCATCAGAAGGGAAGAACAATACAAAAACAGACTTGAGGGTAACAAAGGGTCCCTCCCAGCCCCTTCCTTTGTCTTTCCTTCCCCACTCCTTCTCCTCCCCAAGAGGGGTCCCTGTCCCCATTCCACGGGAAGAGTCCCGGAGGCCCCCACGGACAGGAGGCATATGACCAGCCCATCTCATGCACCCCACTGGAGGGGGAAAGTGGGCCTCAGCCCCCAGACTGCTGATATGCTGACACCTAAGAGAAAGAGCCTGAGAGTGAACACTGCATCCTGAGCAGATGTACTCTGACTGTGATGACAGCCTGAGGATTTGGTAGATATATAGAATTGCTAGATTGTTTGTATTGCTTCTTTTCTGTTATCACTGTGTATCAATCAATTTGCCTATTATCGAATGGAAAGGTTGTGGTTGGTCTGAAAGTGGGGGGTGGGTCCTGCCCCACCCCTCCGAGAACAAGGTATCTAGGTCTTAAATCCAGAGCCAACAGTAACACTATGGAAGATCCTGGGTGCTATACAGAGGAGGACAGCAAGAAGGAAACCTAAATAACCTCACCAGTCCACTCTGACAGTAGCCCTAATATGGCTCTACAGCTTCATGTGCCATGCATGAAGGGCCCTCATTCTCTACACAAAAAATTACCAACAGCCCTTGAAAAAACAAGGTACTGGAGCATAGCAGAGGAGATCAAGAATTAACTGTGTGCTTTGTTTCAATTATGCAAGCTACAAAGCTGAGTAAACAGCTTCTTGATTGAATTTCCATCTTATCTATTTGCAAAGTACAACCCCAATAGGAAGGAGCCAATCCAGCTGGCAGGGCAGAAACTTGTTGCACTAGAACATAGTAGGTGAGATTCAATATGCTTAATTCTTACCAGCCTCTTCTAAATTCTCCATCCATCACATCACATGTTCATAGCAGTGAAGTTGTAGGAATAGATGGAGTCTGCTCTGTTCAGGATTTGCTCTCCAGCTAACAGATCTTTGTTCCTGAGGACTATCAAAATGCAAGTCAGTGCAAGACAGACAAAGCCTTCATTTAGCTACAATTATGGTTACTTAAGCTGAGAAACAGAGAAGGTAGAGCTGAAAGACTGTTATTCCCAGGGAACCTCCCATATTTCATAGATTTCATAGATTTCATAGACATTAGGGCTGGAAGGGACCTCGGAAGATCATCAAGTCCAGTCCCCTGCCCAAAGGGCAGGAAGTCAGCTGGGTTCATAGGATCCCAGCAAGATAAGCATCCAGTTTCATCTTGAAGGTGTTCAATGAAGGCTCTTGAACCACCTCTGGTGGCAGGCTGTTCCAGACCTTGGGGGCTCGGACAGTAAAGAAATTCTTCCTTATGTCCAGCCTGAAACGGTCTTGAAGTAGTTTGTGACCATTCGACCTCGTCATCCCTTGGGGCGCTCTGGTGAACAAACGTTCCCCCAGATACTGGTGGTCACCTCTGATAAACTTGTAGGTGGCCATCAGATCACCCCTGAGCCTGCGCTTTTCCAGGCTAAAGAGCCCCAGGGCTCTCAGCCTGTCATCGTAGGGTCTGCTTCCCTGACCTCTGATCGTGCGCGTGGCTCTTCTCTGGACTCTCTCAAGCTTCTCCACATCCTTTTTGAATTGTGGAGCCCAAAACTGGATGCAGTACTCCAGCTGCGGCCTCACTAAGGCCGAGTACAGGGGGAGAATGACGTCCCGGGATTTGCTTGAGAAGCATCTATGGATGCAAGCCAGCGTTTTGGTTGCTTTACTAGCCACCGCATCGCATTGCAGGCTCATGTTCATCTTGTGGGATGAACATTGTGGGGCCAGATTGGAAACCAGACCAAGATATGATCTCTATCCGCGCCTATCGAGAATATATCCCCCGAGGATTGAGAGATGCTGTGAAAAAACCTCAGAGTTTTAGTGAGGTGTATGAGGTCCAACAGGAGACGAATGAGACCCCGAGTGCTTTCTTAGAAAGAATTTTCACTACTTTCAGACAATATACTCGTGAGGACCCGGAGGATGCATCGAACGCTCGCGTGGTAAATATGATTTTTATAG